AAATTTAAAATTTTTTATTTTTAGTAAAAAAATAATCAATAAATTAATAAAATAATTAACATAATAAATATATTCTTATTTTATACTCTAAGATTTTAGAATAAACAAACCCTCAATCTTATTCTTATTGCTTCTTAGAGGACTCACACCGTAATCAAACGACCGAATTAATTTTAATTTATTCTTCAACTTTCAATTTTTGACCCACCAATCATTGTTCTGAAACCAAATTTGGGCCACCATGACCAATTCAGTGATTTAACACTTATAACATTACTAAAATGTGAATTCTAAAGGTTAGATTTATTCATGAATAAATGTTATTTTATAAATCAAATTTAAAATTTAAATTTTAGAGTCTACATTAAAAACTAAATTAATCTTAAAATTCATAAAAATTAATCCAAAAATACCTTATGATAAGTACCTAAAAGAATATTATGAAAGTGCCTATAAACGTGTTTAAATATAAAATAGGATCATAATAAATTTTTATATGTTATTACCAAAAAACTAAAAAAAATAAGAACATATATATTTAGACTATGTATTTTTTCAACCATGTAAGTGTAGTAGTGGTAATTTTTTTTTGGCTAAATGTGAAAAGTTCTTAATTCAAATCCTATGATATGTGGGTAGATGAGAGGATTGTCTTCCCTACCGTCTAATCTAAAATTCAAAGAAGAGAAAAAAAAGAAAGAAGAAGAAACAATGTATTTTATATTAAGTTTTAAAGAAGTAAGAAGAGAGAACTAGAAAAAAGATATTTTATTATTATGCTAAGATATAGAGTTACATGTAACAATTTTTATATAGGCTCTAGGGTAGGTAATATAAGAAAATAAATCAATTATAGTGACTAGTAACTTATTGATTCGAGTAAAAGGAATTTATTTATTTTTTTAAATAAGATCTCAAGTTTGAATATTGTGAATAGAGAAACAGACACTTTTGAATATCGAGGGATTAATGCAAAAAAATTGATTATATTGAAATATTTTTGGTAAATCCAAACCCATAAAATCCTTAGGATTGAATTTTTAGAGATTGAACTATGTAGGGTTAATCAATCATACAATATCACAGTGAATTTTGAATAAAATGAATCAATTATATAATGACATGTTATAATTGTACATTTAAAATACCATAGAACATTATAACTAGATCTTTTTTTGTTTGGTATATGAGGGAATGGTTAAGGGTCTTTATTGAAAAAATTATAATTTTGAAGCTTAATTGAAAAATTATTGAAAAAGCCTCAGAAAGTCCATCAGAAGTTAATGGGCTCTCAAATCTGACGAACCTTTACCAGCCCATCAGAGCCCAACGGTGGTCTGCTAAAAATCTCCCAACAAGCGCGCCACAGGGGAGGGAAAGAATATGGCGCTCTCATTAGGCGCTTGCTCACCTCCTCTGATCTGCAAAGCCACCGCCGCTTCCCACCGCCACTTCCCACCGCCACGTCCACGACGTCGCTTACGTCCGACGCGCCGTCGAGATAGCCGAAAAATCCGCTGGCTTCACGTCTACACATCCGAACTTCGGGTGCGTAATCGCTATGCCAAGCGGAGATGTCGCCGATGAGGGGTACCTGTACGCCCACACAAAGCCCGCTGAGATCCAAGCGGTGGAGGCCAGAGGCGAGCATTGTAGAGGTGCTGCTGCCTACCTCCATACGGAACCCGGTGACTGCCTTGGCGATCACACTGCTTTCTCCGCTCTTGTTCAGGTTTCAATTCCCTTTCTTAAATTTGCTTCTCTAGTAATTTCAAAATAATTTCTTTCGAAAGGAATGAAATGTGTATAGAGTATAGAACTCATTGTCTTATCTGTTCCTGAAAAATTGGTTTTGTTTAATTTATTGTAAATGTAGCAGGAAGGTAACTGACATTTTGTAGATTAGGCAGGCATCAAAAGAGTTGTTGTTGGAATCAGGCATCCTTTGCAGCATCTCAGAGGCAATTCTATACGTGCCTTGAGGGGTCAAGGTTTGCATGTTGAGGTTCTGGGGGAGGATATACAAAGTAAGATTGTGGAGGTATAAATCTAACTGCTTTTTGGGCATGCCGCATGGGTTGGCCTCTGTTTTTTGCGTATTTATGTTTTAGTTCATGATCCACTCGATATCCTTGAATATAATTAGTTAAGAAAATTTTGGCTTTTGTTTATATAAATTTGTCTCCTTTACTTCCTTCCTCTGATAAATGGTGCTGCAATGTCTTCTTTCAAACTGATTTTATCTGGGTCGGAAATATTGGTTTCCTAGCAGATAATATAAAACATGATAATATTCCATGTGCAATAATAAGCTAGACTCTTAAAATTTCTTCTTTTCTCTCTGTTGTATACACTTCCCTGTGCAATAATAAACTCTGACCTCGACCTCCTTAAGATAATGTTATTAATAATTTTATGTTTCTTACTGTCTCACTTTGCTTGAATGGGAACTCTCATTCAGGTTCCTGCTGGAGCCCGGGTTCCTCCTGGAGCCAACACGTGGCACCCAGTCCCAGTCTCCATTCATTCTCTACAGTTGTGTATTTCTTCTTAGTTTTTAAGAGATAGGGAGGAGGAGAAATGTGAGAGGGCTCTCTTTTTGAAAATCTAAATTAATTTGAAATGAGGGGGTAGTTTCATCACAGAAAAAAAATATTATAGTGTCAATGAATTTGTCTATCAAGTTAAAGCATATGGTGGTTTAGCATAAAAAAATCAAACCTCATGTCTGAATTTGATTTTTACCCAAACCAAAAGTGTAACAGCTGAATATACACCAAAAGTGTAACAGCTGAATATACTCTTTACAACGTGCATCTAACATCCCTCTAGGTGGTTATCTTACTTACTCAACTGACCAAACATTTTCTTCATGCAGGAACTTGTTTGCAAGATCCTCGAGTCTTCAGACCTTAACTTCTCACACTACAGTTACAGTGACATCTTCTTTGAGGCAAGTTTCTTGTTTCTTGAACTGTTAGATATCTTCTATTTTAAAACAGATTTTTTACTGTTGTTCAGTAATTAGTTTTTGATGGTTTGTTGGATCTTTAAGATCATCTAGAGAGTATGATCTGCTTTAGTTATGGAGAGAAGGATATGGGATTTTTTTCCACCTCTATGGCATAATTTTAAACTTCACTGGTGGTCAATGGATTGATGTTGAGTTAATTAGCTTGATATGGAAGCATACAATTATGGTTACCAGAAGTTAATAACAATACAAAACTTCTTCCTTCTTCTCTTGTAACTTGTAAGAGACTAGTTATTATGCCATTGCTTCAAATCTGCCTATTGGCTCAAGCATGAATGAGATTGTTTGGTCTTCCAAATTTCTTTTAGCCAGCTATCATGAGTATTTGCAAAAGCCTGAAGTTAATTAATCCAGTAAAAATTATGCCAAAGCAAAGGTGTGGCTGGAGTTTGGTGACCTTATGAAGTTTTATGTATTGTGTTGTTCCAATTGCTTGCTTTGATCCTTTGTTTCTGGGAACACTGACTTATGCCAGAGTGGGATAATCTGACTTTTTGCAATTACAGGTTGTTTTCACTGGAGGCTGTACACAACCAGGCACAACCAAACCCGATGAGGGGGAGCACCACCCTTACTCTACAATAGACTGTGAGCCTAAGTGTGAAGTCATTCTGCCACCTGTGATCGACATACAGAAAATTTTATGTCTGAAGCCTTTCCTCAAAAAGGACCTAAAAATGTTATGCAAAGATTCCTGCAGTCATTGGAGCTTTGAGGAAAATGAAAGGAAGAAGCTTGCAATTTTCACAGCTCTTGCTTTCTCCCACAAACTTCAGGGCTGCCACCAGAGATCATGTTCCAGCCCTTCCTCAAGGATAATCTTGTTGCCAAGGGGCTAGTCTTTCATTCATAACAGACTTCTTCAAGGAGTACCTGGTTCATAATAGCCTGGAGGATTTAATCACAATTCTGAAGCGAGGGAAAATGGAAGACAATCTTCTGGACTTCTTTCCATCTGCGAAGAGATCTGCTGAGGGTTTTTCCAAGCATTTCACATGAGTTTAGTAGTTTTTAAATTGACTAAAACTGCGAAGGACATTTGGGATGCATGCTGTGTTTTAGAATTATTAGGTGTGGTTTCCTTTGAACATTTTGGGACTGATGCCGTTTTTAGCTATGTTGATTTTCAGCAAGGGTTGACGCCCCTGGTTGAATACAATGAGACAAAAAATGTTTGTGGTGAAACTGAAGGACATGAAATCTGCTATAACAACCCAGATATCTGAGGAAACTGATATCTGAGGTCATAGAAACTGTCAAGCAACATATTAAAGATGCTAAATTTCCTGATATTGAAGTTGTGTGGATGCTTTGGGATAAAACAATGGATGCTGTTCAGTGGTCTGGGAAGAACCAGCAGCAGAATGCTAATGCGGCTCTGCGACAGGTCAGATTTAGCTTCTTGCCTTACTTTGCCTGTACCAATCCTGTTACTTTCCCTTCATCTGTTAAATGGGACACTTGTAAAGACACAAAACTAAGATTACTGGTGCAGGCTAAACTAGAATCACCTTTCTAGTAGTAAAGTGATTTTATGAACTTTAAAATGAGTATATTCCAAATAGTTACTCATGAATTTTTAGAAAAGTAATGCTGGGTTTTCTCTCTCTCCATTGTTACAGGTCAAATCATGGGCAAAGCTTTTATATACCTTTTGTACTAGTGGAAAACTTGAGCTGGAACTCATACAAAGTTCAGATGCAATGCTATGAGGATGCCAAGCTGATGAAGCTGTTCCCTGAGATCATAAGGTCTCTCTATGGCCAAGGTGTGCTTGCAGAAGACACCATTCTTTACTGGTTCTGCAAAGGAACGAACCCTAAAGGCAGGTAAGCAGGTTCATATTCATGTTTGTTATCATAATATGAAGAATTATGGTAGTGGTTGAGCTTTGTAGTAATTACTGCATTTCACTTTCTTGGTTGCTCAGTAATAAATTGTTCTATTTCTTCTTTTTCTGGTTTGAGCATTTTGTTTGTGTGTTGATCATCTTAAAGCATTGAAAATTGGTACAGGCAAACATTTGTCAAGGCCCTGGAACCCTTTGTGAACTGGCTGGAAGAAGCAGAAGAGGAGGAATAAGTTGGACCTAGTTCCCCTGGTTCTATTTGCTTGTATCAATTCTTGAGGTGTCCTTTGGCATAAGATATCTCAAGATCTTTGACATCTGGTGTGACATTGTGATGTGAAGAAATAATTGGTGGGATTTTCACCTGCAATAATCAATCGCTTTATGCTATCATGTGCATGTTTCTTTTAGCTGTCTTCTTATTTGGTATTAAAATTTATGTTTAAATTCTATCATTCTACCACATTCGTCCATTTCTGGGACACGGAGTAATTAGAAAGAATCAAATAACACCTTACATGGAAAGGTCTGGAAAATAAAAAATACTTACTGAAGCAAAACCTTCCACGAAGAATGATTTCTTGGAAAGTTGTTTGCCAAACAATACTTGACAATTGTGATTCTTTTTCTTCTCTTTTAAGACGTAAGTTGAATTAAGTAAAAACAGAATAATCTGATTAAAAAACCTAAAATTTGCCACGATTGGAAAATGTGATTTAAGTTCTTGTACTAAATTGAATTTTATATTCTATACCCCAGAAATTCACCAGAAATTCATTGAAAGATGTGATTCAGTTGTTGTATTGAACTGAATTTTGTGGTTGCGGGCTCTCTAGCATTGCCTTCAGAAGTTTGGCGAAGAAAAAGGATATTCAACCCAGCTAGCAACTCGTGTCAGCAAGCAACTATTGGATATTTACTCAATTAATTAAATTGAGTTTACATATCATAAGTATGCCATGCCCTTTACAGGGTATCTCAAATGGTAAACAACTTGAAACATCTTATTAGAGATTTTGAATTTAAATCTTAAGATTAAAAAAAAAAAAATTATTTTCTGATTATATTTATGTAGCACATTAATTGATGAAAAAAAAAAAAGAAAACCCATTGGTACGCAACTTTGGCACTTTTGAAAAGATTTAGCATTATATCTTACGAAAATCGAAAACAAGTAGCACCAAATCACCAAAATGATGTTCAGTATCAACCAGTTTCTCAAGATTTTCATATTTTAATTCACCTCAGACAAGGCCTTGATATTCACCATCTGTATGGTTTGACAGAAACTAAATTGATTTGAGAAACAACAGGAAACTCGTTCAGAAAATGTCTGCCACTCAAATTCTACAATAATATACAATCTGTGTAATCAAGAATAAGAATAGATGAATGGATAGGATTATGAAATCACCTGCCCTATCCCAAAATATTATGAAGCATAGGTTAAGTAGCCTTTTCTGCAAGGTTCTCTACGTCAGCCACCATTCTTGTGCTTGTCGGTGTGGTATGATGGCTGGTATCAGCTGCTCTTGTAGCTTGATCACTCATAGAACTTGTTGTGTCATCAAATCTCCAGCCAGTCAAGTATCCAGGCTTTGAAGTTACTCTGCTCACTTCAGTATCTCTAGAAAGCATAGCCACCACACGAGACATTGATGGCCTTTGCATTGGAATTGTCTGAGTGCACAAAAGGGCTACTGCTATGACATTTTTCACTTCTTCTTCATCAAATTCTAACATATTAGAGTCAACTAGTTCAACTTCACGGTTGTTTTCATATAGGTGCCAAGCCTAAAAAGCAGAAAGGAAATAATACATTATGGTGCAACAGGGATGGATAAATTGCACTGTAAACAGAAAGAAGACATACAACTAAAATCAAGAAGCAGAGGAATAAAGGTGTAAAATACATTTTAAGTTGTTTTTCTTCCCTGACATTTTAAGTTGGTTGAAATTCAAATGACTATACATTAACATTCTAATTGATCTTATACAGGATTTGGATGAATGTTCTTAGTAGTTTGATAAACAGTTATTCCAACTTATTCCTATAGTACATGGATTAGAGTAATGAAACCTGCCGAAGGTAAAATAGAAAACGGTGTGAATGCTTAGGGGAAGATTACTCCGTTAAAGAATGTTTCCAGAATTTAAATATTACTATGCACTGTATATTTAAACATACTTTTCAGTAGAAAGCATACATTCGTGTTCTTCTAGCATCATGGCATGAAAATTAATACAAATAAATGCACTTTCGAAAGTATGGGCGTAGTTAAGTTACAATATGGCATTTTCGGAAGCAATTGAATATTTTAATAGATCAAAGTTTGTCTATAGAAAGAAGGATCAAATTGAAAATTGTTAGTAAAAGGAGGATATGTACCCATTCAAGAAGATACATCTTCTCTCCCTCCAAGCTTGAGTCAGAATTAGGTCTCCCACTGACAACTTCTAGAGCCACAACACCAAAGGCAAACACGTCGGTCTTCTCAGTAAGGTGTCCACGCATTGCATACTCTGGTGCAAGATACCCACTACATACGTAGCAACAAAGACAAAATCTATTAGTCATACATGAGAGGAATAAAACAACATGAAAATTCATTGCCCTTTAAAAAAAAAAAAAAATAGAGAAGAAGAAGAAAGAAAGAAAATGAACTTGTTGAGAAGAATTAATGATGTCAAACTTGAAAACTATACATTGTCCCGGCAACACGGGTACTTAAGTGGGTCTTCGTATCATCATAAAGTTTTGCTAGACCAAAATCAGAAATCTTGGGGATCAGGGCAGAATCCAGCAAAATATTACTGGCCTTTACATCTCTGTGTACAATTCGAAGCCTTGACTCTTCATGAAGATAAGCCAGACCCCTAGCTACTCCCAAGCATATATCATAACGTGTTTGCCAGTTGAGGTTCAAACTTCCTCTTCCTGCACAATTAAAGCCATAAGTAATTCTATGCCATAGTTCCATAGTAGAAAGAAGAACATTTCATTGCATTGCAATATTTTCATACCAAATAGTGCCTGATCTAGGCTCTTGTTTTCAAGATACTCATAAACAAGCAGGCGTTGATCTGCCTCAATGCAGTAACCATGTAGTTTGACAAGGTTTCGATGCTGCACAGCAGTTATAGTTCTTATTTCTGTAACAAACTGGCTCTTGCCTTGGCATGATCTCACAGACAATTGCTTCACTGCAATTATTCTACCATCATTAAGTTTTCCCTAGGTAACAAAAGATTCAAGTTAATAATAGAATACAATATATCCAAATAAAAAGAATTCTTGTCTTCAATGTTCCCAATCCCTACTATTTCTCAGGAAAAAACTTTTTATCTGCAAGAGTTATCAATTTTGCTTTCTCCATCCATTAAATTCTCAATGTTGTGCCATAAAACAAAACTAATCATGTTATCATTAGACCAGATGAAAAACTCAGTTCCATATTTTAGCCAATGCATATAAAATCAGTTTAATCAATAAATTGACCAAGATGTGAACCTGGAATTTGCTAATCCAGCACATTAAGATTCTGTATATTGTTCTGATTTATTCATTAGTTTCATAGTTAAATCGACTTCTAGGCTCCAGCCTCATTATTTATTCCTACAGGCTACAAAAAGTGAGGAATAACCCATCTCACTCATTGGATCCCTGAATCAAGGATAGAAAGTTTAATCAATCTGATTATCTCAAGCACTTCTCATATCTTATGACCCATCAGGGCTACAATACCCAACCATTTTGGCTGTCAGCTTCCTTTTCTCAAATTAGAATTTCATTTACAGTTAGTTATCTCTTTATTTAGATTCCTTATAAAACAAGAATTTGAGTTTTGTGTTACCTTAACAAAAAAAAACCTGCTATCGTACGCGGCATGGTGGTTTAGCTGGAAACGCCAGAGATGGGTGGAAGAGGCCTTTAGAAAAAGAAGTATACTCCGCCTAAGGGGGGTACTTCCAAGAAGACTTTTGGTTTGACAGATGATAATGGGGGGCGAAAGAGTGTTACAATTGAAGAGACCATCAAAGTCCAAGTTGAGGTTGTGAAGCTTGTTGCTCGAGATCTTAACTAGATGGGTTTTAAGATTGAAGAGTTAGGGCATTTGAAGTCAGATCTAGCTACTACAAGAGTGGATGTTGCGGGGAGCTTGTTAGAGTTGGCAGGTAGTGGTCGAGTTTGTGGGGCTGTGGATCATGGCTCGGCGCAAGATTTGAAGAAGAGCGATGTTGTTGCTTTGGATGGGAAAGTAGATAAGGGGAACAAAGAGATGAACTCGGAGACCCAGCCTTCTATCATTCAAATGAATCTATTTTCTGGGAAAAGGAAGCTAGTTCCTCTGGTACTAAAATGCCTTTTAGTGCTTGTTGGATTGACATTATTGAAGAAGAGAAGAGGGATATGCAACCTTCTATCAAGCAGAAGCCATTACGTAGTTGGTCTGCTGTTGTTGAAGGTAATAGAGACATCGGGAAGGGGTGGGATTTGCAGTATGTGAAACCTCACGATCCTACTGGTGCTGTGGTCATTACTGAAGATGAATGGGTTACAAGATCTAAGATATGGGAGAATGCTCTTGTTGGGTATGTTTTGAGATTCAAACCTGCATTTAAGGATATGGCTAATTTTTTGAACAATAGGTGGAAGGAATTTCAGGTGCTGAAGGTGTTTGTGCTGAGGAATGGAGTTTTCTTGTTTGATTTTTCAGATGGGGACGCAAAGCAGGCGGTGCTGGAGAAACGGTGGACATTTAATGAGCATCCTCTGATTTTGAAACAGTGGACTCCAGATTTTGATCTTGACAACTTGGATATTAGTAAAATTCCTGTTTGGATTCAATTTTCTAACCTTCATTTGAGTCTTTGGAACTTTGGGAGCTTAGGAAAATTGGCAAGCTATTTGGGAGTTCCTATGCTTTGACGGCTAAGAAGCGAAGAGTGGCTTATGCTCGCATGTTAGTAGAGATGGAAATTATGGACACGTTACCTTGTGTGGTGCTTGTTATTGCTCTTAAGGGTGTATTACAACCTGTGGTTTTGAGTGGGAGCCTATGAGATGTGGTACATGTAGGAATCTTGGGCATGAGGAAAGGAAATGTACTGCTAAGGCTAAAAAGGTGTGGGTTTCTAAAAAATTGGTAGAGGAGCAGGTGGTCAAACAAGTGGTGAGCTCAAGAACTCTAGTGGGGAATGATGAAGTGCAAGATACTATGATGCAAACTGTTGATAATTCAGCAAATGTGAAACAGAGTACACTCCTTCAACCTTCTGGTAAGATGATATTGAAGAGTAATGGGCAGTGTCTAGTGCAATCAGGATTGGAAGTTATGAGTCTGGTAAATTTGCAGAATGAGACTGGTACTAGCACTAGTGACAAAGAGATGATGCAGAATGTAGCAGGTGGAACACCCTCTGTAAGTGAGCCTCTTTCATGATATATCTTTCTACATGGAATGTGAGAGGTTTGAATGACTCACTAAGATAGGTAGATGTTAAGAAGTTTATGATTTCAAATAAAGTTCAGTTTTTAGCTTTATTAGAAACTAGAGTTAAGGAAGAGAATAACAATCGGGTTGTGCAAAAGCTTGGTAGTCAATGGGGATGGTTGAATAATTATTATTCTCATTGCAATGGTAGGATTTGGATTTTATGGAATAAAACAGAACTAAGGGTGATTGAATTATTGCAAACTTATCAATTGATACATGTTGAAGTGTGCTCTGCAGTTGAAGGTGTTAAATTTTTATGCACTATTGTCTATGCTTTTAACTCATTTGATGGTAGGGTAGCATTGTGGGAAAAATTAAGAGCACTCGACGTTGCTAGTGTGCCGTGGATAATTTTTGGGGACTTTAATACAACTTTGCATTATGGTGAAAGGGTAAAGCTTAGTGGAGTTGTTTGGGGAGATACTTCTAAGCTTTTTCATTTTGTGAGTAGTATGGAGGTTATTGACCTGCAATTTTCTGGTGCTTTTTTCACTTGTTGCAATAAGCAGGTGGAGAATCACAGATTGTGGTGCAAACTAGATAGGGTAATGGCTAACTCATCATGGGTTAGTGCATTTCCAAATACTTCAGTGGTTTTCTTAAATCCACAATCCTCTGATCACTCACCTTCCCTAGTTACTGTGGATCTTTTGATGAATAATAAGCCATAACCATTTAGGTATTACAATGCCTGATCTGAGGATGAAGGTTTCCTGGATTTGGTTAGGGATGCTTGGAATTCACCCATCCAAGGATACCCTATGTTGGTTGTAGTGCTGAAACTGAAACAGGTTAAATAAAAACTGAAGCAGGTGCATAAAAGTAGATATGGAAACTTGGAGAGAAGAATTGTAGACATGGCAACTGAGTTATGTAATGTTCAAGTTTGCATGCTGAATGTCTTATTTGACGAGAGCTTGGCATTAAGGGAAAAAGAAACTGTCTTTAATAGCGAGCTAAGGTAACTTGGTTACAAGAGATGGATCCTAATTCGGCTTATTTCCATGCTAAAGTAAAGGAGAGGCAGCATGGAGGTGTCATTAGCTCAAACATGAATGGTGATGGTGTTAGAGTAACTCAACCAAAGCTAATAGAACAAGAGTTTTTACTATTCTATTAGGAATTATTTGGCAAGACTAAAGAAGGTATTCAGGTGGCTAATGTGAATGTCATTCAACAGGGCAGAGTGTTAATTGCTGAAGAGGCGGAAGAGTTATGCAGACCATTCACTGTTAAGGGTGTGGAGATTGCCCTATTCTCAATTCCATCAAATAAGTCGCCAAGGCCTGATGGGTTTACTTTAGGATTCTACAAAATAGCTTGGTCTATTATTAGGAATGGTGTCATTGTTGCTGTTTTGGATTTCTTTAATAGTGGGAAGCTCTTCAAGCAAATTAATGATATGAATATTAATATTGTTCCAAAGGTGAATTGCCCAAATTTTGTCAGTGATTATAGGCCCATAGCTTGTTGCAATGTAATTTATAAGGTGATATCGAAACTTTTAACTTAGAGGATTAAGGAAGTGTTAAGCATGTTCGTTAGTTGTAATCAAGCTGCATTTGTGAAGGGTAGGTCTATACTTACAAATTTATTGATTTGCTGAGATCTAGTGAAGAATTATCATAAGAAAGGGGGGCCTGCTAGGTGTTTAATGAAGATTGATCTACGAAAAGCATATGATTTAGTTGATTGGGGGTTTGTTGAGGCAATGTTAAGAGGGCTGAATTACCCTGTTAGATTTGTTCGTTGGTTATGCTTTGTGTCTCTACTGCTAGATTTTCTATTCTGATTAATGGTCAGCCAAAAGGTTTTTTTTGAGGGCAAAGCGGACTTCGACGTGGTGATCTTATCTCTCCCTATCTATTTGTGCTGGTGATGGAGTATCTTACTAGAAAATTAAAGGAACTGGATATACAAGAGAAGTTTAAATATCATAGTAACTGTAAAGCTAGGTGACTTACCCATTTAATCTTTGCAGATGATATTATGCTATTTTGTAAGCCTGATACTGAGTCTACAGTACTAATGATGCAAATGTTTGAGGAGTTTTCTAGAGTTTCTGGCTTGGAAGTGAATAAAATGAAAAGTTAGATTTTCTTTAGTGGAGTTAGTGAAGGACAGAAAATCTCCTTAATTTAGAAGCTGGGTTTTGCAGAGGGGCAGCTTCCAGTCAGGTATTTGGGCTTGCCTTTGGTTTCTACAAAACTCTCTCTTGGGGCATGTTAACCTATCATTGATAGGATCCATCAAAAAATTAATTCTTGAGCAACAAAATTTCTTTCTTATGCTGGTGGAGTTCAATTAGTCAACTCTATACTTTTTCATTTTCAAGTTTTTTTGGAGTGGTGCTTTATTGCTTCCTAAGAAAGTGTTAAAGTCAATTGATGTTGCTTGTAGGAATTTTATTTGGTGTGGTAAATGGAATTATAATGTTATGTCTATTGTAGCGTGGGATGATATACGTGTGCCAAGGAATGAGGGGGGACTAGGGGTTAAGCAGTTGCAGCACTGGAATAAGGTTGCATTGGGAAAACTGATTTGGAACATATGCCAAAATAAAGAGTCTCTATGGGTTAGGTGGGTGAAGGTGGTGCTTTTGAGGGGTGAAAACTTTTGGAGGTCCCAAATTCCTGTGGATTGTGCTTGGACATGGAGACAAGTCTACAAGCTTCGTCCTTGGTTGAAAAATGTCATTTGGATGCAAGTGGGTGATGGAAGACAAGTTTCTTTATTCTATGACTGGTGGGCAAGTGAGGAAAGGTTCTGTGAGTTGATCTCAAATGCTGAAATTGCTTTTTGGGCTCATTCTCTTATGGTTTGCCAATGGTGGGATGGGTTGGATTGGACTATTCCAGATTGTTTCATGAGAAGGCATCCCATACTAGTTAGGATTATCAAGAGTAAAAAATTGTCCCAACAAATTGATAAGGTTGTGTGGAAACCTGCAAAGAATGGCTTATTTACCATTTCGAGTTGCTATGAGTTTTTAAGAGTGAAACATCCTAAGGTTGAATGGCACAATATTGTTAGGGCAAGGTGTGTCTTTCCTCGGCATAGCTTTATTCCTTGGCTGGTGTTGCGGGGTAGACTGAAAACTAGAGTTTTGTTGGCTGATAGAGGACTGGGAATAGAGAAAGGGTGTTGCTTGTGCTGTAGATACGAGGAAACTTGTGAGCACTTGTTTTTTTATTGTAGTTTTGCTAAGGAAGTGTGGAGGCTGGTTTTAGAATTTTTGAATGTTCAACGACAGTCGAAAAGATGGAGTGTTGAGTGGCTTTGGCTAAGAAAGGCATGTAAGGGTCATTCAGTTCAGCCAAAGAAATTGAAGACTGCCTTGGCTACAACTATATATATGGTTTGGCAGGAAAGGAATAGGAGAATTTTTCTTAGTAAATTTTCAAATGAAAGGGATGTATATAATGAAATAATTGGTTTTTTGAGATTAAAGTTATGAGAAGTGTAGTTCCCCAGGTATGCCTGGGAGTATAGTGTATATGCTACTTAATGTTAAATGGAAAGCTTACCTTTTTCAAAAAAAAAAAAAAAAGAATTAGGGTTTTTAGACTATTACTATTGTACAGTTATAGATTATCATATGTTTATGATTTCACTCAATTGAGTACTTTCCCTCTCCTATGTATTTCCTCAAGTTCTCTTCCCTATTTCCCTATCTTCTTGTCCCTTCATCTCTTCTACTTCCTTCCCTACATCAAAACTAATACCTAGAACCATCAGTTTTAAGACATCTTTAGCAACATTTATATCTATTTGCACAAGAGAACAAGTTAAAAAAAATAGTACTGTAAAGTATGCTCAATTATGATAATGATACTAATATCAGCCCCCAACCAATAAATCCAAATAATAAGGGCACAACTCATTCTTAATAAATGTTCTATAAAAAAATTAGTTGCAATCTGTTAATCACAGGTTGGCAGCCACCGTTAACATATGAAATAAAACCCCACCCTTCTTATCCGATAAATATTTTGAATATACCTGATGTCTTAATCCCCATGTCAGTCATTAATTAGAACAACAATTTACCTTATAGACCGGTCCAAATCCTCCCTCTCCTAGCTTATTTGCCGGATTAAAATCCTCTATAGCAGATTTTAGTTCAGCATAACTGAAGGTATATGGTCTGACATCTATTCCTTGGAGCTCTGCATGTCCAACGGAACAAAGGTTACTGTAGGAAACAGGATGTTCATACACATGATTGAACTTTTATGAGAAGACATGGGCTGGAATACATGCCCTCAATAAATGTTTTACTTGAAGATGCATACTTATAATTTTCTCTGGTCAAGGTTGACAAATGGCTACAAAAGCATTTGAAATATTTTAACATCTTGGGTCTTATGATGGAAAATAAAGAATGTTGCTCACTTGCTGCATATAAGGGTACTTCCTGTGGAACAAAGGAACACCACACACTGGTGTTTGAAAATAACATAACGAGTAAGAAAAAAGAAAATCTAAAAGTTATTTTTCATTGGGATTTTGAGAATGCATTGGAAATTAAAAAAATCAAAAGTGAAAATTTTCTGTGGAACAAGAAAGCATTTCATAACAACACTTAAGATAAAACATTGCAAACAAACACTAATTGCAAAACTGTGACAAGAATAGAACCACGCATGTCTAAAAGAAGTTTTCCATGCACCACTACAAATTAAGTAGTTAGAACAGTATTATGTATATGAAATAGGATTTCATGCCCACCTTCATCTTCATTGGTTTTTGGCCTTCTCCCAAAAATGAAGAATGCTGCAAGGAACAAAAAGCTGACAACTCCAACACCAACAATAACCCCTACAATCAGACCAGTTCTGTTCTTGCTGCTGCTCGGAGGCTTATTACTAACAGTAGGTTTGAAATCTGTATAAAGACTCATGCATCAACCATCAACCATACTACATTTATATGCAAGGATAAAGAATAAAACAAAGAAAATTTGTAAATTATCCTACTCGGAGTAGCACTGATTGCTGAAATCAAAGGTCCATATGCGCCTCGATATGGTACACAGCAAGTCCCCTTTCCAGCCCAAAATAGATGAATTTCAAGGTAGTTTTCAGATACCTGGGTTGTAATATCTTTCTTAACAGCTTGTCTAGAGGATCCACCTGCCTCCTTCAGTATGTTAAAATCCTTAAAAACAAGATTCCCCTGTAATGAACTGAGTCAAAACTTAAAGCAGAATATGAAGATAAGGAAAATGTAATTCTTATAAGAAAGGAATGAAATATAATTAACCAAAATTTCAGTCACTTAAACCAGATTGTGGTTGAGATTTGAAAATTTTTATAATTTCAACAATTATTTGGGAAATTGTTCAAGATCCAGAAAACAAAAAGGGTCTAAAGAGCCAGTGGCAATAATTATTTGGAAGATAGATTTAAAAATTGTAGGGATAATTGAATCTAGGAATTTAGGAATTCAAAAGTCATTATCCAATGTTTTCTAAAACCAATTCATTAAATGTGTTAAATCATACTCAGTTACAGATTCCAGAAAGGTTAAGAATTCTATTCTATTAAATGCAGTCAACTTTGTCACAGTAACCCTTCCTGGCATCATAAACTTGGATGGATCATGGCCCATTGGCAATAAGGATAGTATTATAATTTGTGTGGTAAAAGTTGAAGAGCAGTCTGATAGAACAATTCAGAAATATACACACCTGGACATATATATCAAAAATCCGTCTCCCAAGACTTTGCCATGTGGTAGAATCATCAATCTGAATTTCTGCAAATTGGAGGCTCACAGTATAATTGCCATTCTCGAGCCCCAATCCATAGTACCTTAGTGAGGAAGCAGAGATCCGTGCTGTATGAAACAACTCTGAGTCTAGAGTGTTTGTAAATAGAGATGTTGAATTTGTGGTATATTGAGGATTACTTCTCCAAGTAAAATATCCAACATTACTGACCGCCCACCTCTTTGTGTCAGTCACAAAATATGAGGTTGGGCCAAGAATCTCATCATCCCTCTCAAACACAACTCCATCCGAGGATCTAATCTCTGGACCACCACACTTAATTGCAAAGTTATAATCTGTAGAACAAAACGAAAGAGGGATTCAATAATTTAACTCAAGAGAAAGGTTTCCTAACTCCAGTGCATTGATCTATCTATTTACATGCTTGACTTTACAATGCTCATCAAATTCTAAATTTTTTGGGGTTCTAGATCGTATTCCTAAAGTGCTTATCTAATAGTTTGGATTTTATAGGAGCCTAGGCCCCATTTCTCATTTGGTTCCCTACATTTTCCAAGTGAAAATTAAGCCCATGTCTTGTCTTTTTCTACCTTGCTTATGTGACGGCTTGTTTGGTAATATAACTCTTGATTTGTAGATAAGATGTGCCTCTCTCCACATTTTTCCAAGCACCTACCACTCAATTCCACAATCATTTAGAATTAAATGCACTGACCTAATACTTGTTTTTACCTTACCTTTAATGACTTTTAACTACAAAATAATGATAAGAGATTCTTGCAGTTTTTAATCCATCCCAACTAACAATGATTTCGAATTCAATTTTCTGTCAACAAATCAACTAAGAAAGATCCTTCGTATTCTAGCTTCAATTCCATTCTCATAAACAAAGGTAAAGTTTTAACTGTACTTACATCTTTCAGAACCACGATTGCAAAGAAAGTTTTGTTGAAGACAGTTGAGTCCTGATGGTAAGCCACTGAAAGTAGAAGAAGAATGCAATAGGACAATTACCATAATTACAAGTTTAGTAATATTTACAATTAACCATTTAAAAACCCACATAGAAAACATCTTCTAGATTTATGAAATGAATACTGGTCTTCCATTCTCTTTTTAATATTTATTTATTTATTTTTGTTGTGTGTGTGGACTAAAAGAGGAGAGGGGGCTCAAAGGGAAGGGATGTATATTACTATGAATTCACTTGACTCTTCTCTCTTACTCTTAAGAAAAAATAATTTGACAAAAGTTCCATTCAAAAAGACAAAAATTACAACATAGCATCCAAGTATGGTGAAAGCTTTGTAAATAGTAATTATGGCCTATTGTGAAAAGCAGTAACATCACTTTTAGCAGCCTGTGACCCATGATTAAGTAAGCTAGTTGACAACAACACAACTAGAAAGTACATTGGATTAGAGAGAAAATAGCTAAGGGATTGGCTTCAAAAGCATTTAAAAGTAAATACAACATAGAGAATTACCTGTTGTCTGAAGATTCCATGGTGAAGTTGTTGGCAACTAAATTTCTGCATATTACACAACATAAAGAAAACTATTTAGTTTCACCATGTAACTGTAGGTTGGATGCAAACACATTTCGCAAACTGGAATTTCTTTATGATTATTGGGCATTTATAATACTCAAAGAGCTAGCAAATAATGTTTTCATAGAAAAATGCATATTATATTAAAAAAAATTCTAAAATATAAACACTTCCTTGGTCCAGCATATTATATTAGCTTTTCAAACTTTGTAGTTGAAACCATCATTTATCGTAATCACATGGCTGGTGAAATTATTGTTTTCAAAAACTAATCCCAAGTAAAAGGAATTTTTAAAAAAACCATTCTAGTGAAAGAGATTTAAAATCAAAAGGTTAATTTTGTAAAATTAAACAAATTAGAACTTCACTTTATCAAATGGACAAATTTTTGGTACACCTTAAAATGTAAAGGCAGCAAGTTGATGGGAAGAGTATGAAAGAAACCATAATTGTGAAAATTGATTTTTCATGAATATTATGCATGAAAATATAAACCTAAAGAAGACTTACAGTGATAAGTTCTGTTCACTAACCCAAGAAGGAAAGCTCCCAGCTAAATTATTGTATGATACATCACTACAAGCACAAAACATGAGAATGCTTAGTGCATAATCTAGCAAAATCATGAACAACACCCTGAACAACACTAAGTTTTCTTGGCCAAAATTGACAGTAATGAGCTCAAGCATGAATTAAATCACAACCACTATTAAATCAAGATATTTCAAACATTATCCAAAACCTTCATTTATTTACTTTTCCCATGAAATATATGCATGTAAGTACATGATTATGACCTTTGGACAAGGCATTTTTACTAAGGCAGACACCTGTGCACTAGGCACTCTTTCACCAAGGCAAAAGATGTAGAGAAGGCCCATCCAAAGTAAGTCCCCCTGTAGTTTCATATTTTCCTGATGAACTAATAAGTTTTAATTAAATCAAACTAATATATTCCACGTACAAATTTTGTGCAAGTAGAGCAATCTATCATGGTTATACTGTCCAAAAACGACAATTCTACTTCCCTAAGTGGAGTATAAATGTAAAGCAAACTACAAACACAAGGAGCCTGTAGGGGCATGGCTCAACTATTTAAGAGCCTGAGATTCCAATTTGGAGATCTCAAATCTGAACCTCAAGATGGGGAAGAAGGGATTTAGGAGTAGGGGAGAGCTATCTTCTCTTGTATAACTCATCATTGGATGTACAAAAAAAAAAAAAAAA